GGGTGGGTTGGGCCTCCTCAGGCAGAGAAGGAGCCTGGCAGATGCCCCATCACAGCGTAATGGTGCCATGTGGCAATTCGAGCCTGTCCCTCAATGACCATTCACCGTTCCGGGTGCCAGACATAGCTCAAGCTGGTGCCCTGCCACAGGGTCCTCCGGGGCAGATCTCCCTAAATCAGCCTCCATCTGCCACCTCCCCATTCCTCCCTCCCCCATCTGCCAGGATGACCTGGGAGTGTTAGATTGATGCATAAAACCAGAGAGCTCCTCCTGCCCTTACCACCACCTCAGTGCCCAGCACTCTGGGGACGGACACCACAGGAACTGGAAGCCCAAAGTCAGATGGAAAAGGTGAAGAATTCGGCGAGCCGGATAACAATGCAGCTGCACCCAGTCTCAACCCACAGCCTCCGCCCACTGTTCCAGTCCTGGGTCCCTCCCAGTTCAGCCAATGCCCCTCAATCCTGACCCGCACCCTCCCAAAAGCCAAGTCTTCCAGTGGTGCCAAACTAAGTGAGGGTTTTACACTAAATGCCCATTAAGGGGTTGGCAGGAGACCCACCAAACTCACGCCACGTGTGATGTCGCCACAGCTGAACAGCAATACCCCACCTCTCTTTACCCCCACAGACCTCAGCGAGCCATGCGCCAGCCAGGCCAGGGAGACAGGAAACCCCCCCTCCCGACTGGCCCCCCATGGCATTTGGCCAAGGTACTTCAGCCCCCGTGACAGCAGCGAAAAGGTTAGTTTCACATATATATATATATATATATATATATACACACACACCTCAAACAAAAAAAACAAAAAAACAAAACAAAAAAAACCGGTTCCCGGAAAACACGCCTACCCAACCAATCGCATTTGATACACCCATGGGAAGGCTCAATGGAGGCGTATGGAGGACCAGCCCCCCGCCCCGGTACCCTGGGATGAGCCCAATCAGCCTGCTTGCTAAGTGCCCAGAGCCTGGACTAGCCAGCCCCCCTCCACCAAACTTCGCTCACCTCGGAGACACACAGGGCAGCCCCCATCCGCGGCCCGTTCAGCCCGTGTGGCTCCCCAAGGCACATAGGGGACCAGCCAGTGGAGAAGCAGGACCCAGGAGTAACAGGATCGGGTCCGAAGAACTCGGATCAGGCGGCAATGAGGTTTTTTGGGCAGGGGTCTTGTTCATTCCACAGTGTGTCTGCGCAGCGCCAAGCAGACCGGGGCTCTGGGCACAAGGGCAATCGAAATAACAGTCATCTGGTTCAAAGGAAGGGGGGCAAACTCCAGCTCGAGGATCTGGATCTCCCCATCCACGTACGGGGAAATCCGGATTCTTCTCCCCTCCCCCGGCACGCTCCAAGTCGGGGCTCCCCTACCGGGCACTGGGGGGATCCGGATCCCCCCCACTCCGAATTGGGACTCCCCTTTCGGGCACTGAGGGGGATCCGGATCCCCCCCCCACTCCGAATCGGGGCTCCACCTCACCTTGTCCTTGTGGGGTTTGCGGATGAAGGAGGTGCGCGCCGTGAAGTACTGCTCCAGCTCCGAGTCAGAGTCCTCCTGGCTGCAGTAGCCGCTGCTGGTGGTGCTGCTCCAGGTCATTTCGAAGGACGGGGTCCCCGGCTCGCACTCGCTCATCCCCTCCCCGGCCGCTGCTCGCCCTCCGCCCCTAGAAACCAGCCTCGCCCTTCTCCGGCCCGGGCTGGGAGCTCTCAGATCACCGGGCCCGCTCGGAACAAGCCCGGATCTACCGGCAGCCCCCGAGGCTGGGTCCGAACCGGGCTCGGACGATGAAGCAGGTCGGGGCGCAGCGTGCGCCCTCACCCCGAAGCACTGACCGCCCGTCTGCACGCCGGTGGTCCCGGCTCCTCCTCGCCGTCGCCTGGCTGCAGCCGAGCCGTTGAGATTGAAACGTACACACTGCACCAGGGGCCGGCCCGCATTGGGTGAGGCTGCGCAGCCAGCTGGGGCGGGGCGAACGCGCTCCGGACCCTCCCCTTTCCGGCCGTGATTTCATCCCCAAAGCAGCTCGCCCTGCCTGCGGCGGCCGCGCTTCGTCGGCGCTTCACAAACATTAGCCAGCCTGGGGCCAGCATCTCCCATTATGCAGGGACGCCACTACTACCTCCGCCTCGCTCAGCGTGTCTACATGAGCCTGGCAGGGCGCCCATCATGGCGGTATCTGGGCGCTTCACAGGCCTTATGCCTTATTTATCCTCCCAGTATGGTGACCAGACAGCAAGTGTGAAAAATTGGGACGGACGGGGTGGGGGGGTAGAGCCTATATAAGACACAAAAATCGGGACTGTCCCAATAAAATCTGGACATCTGTCACCCTACCTCCCAGCCAGGCAGGGAAGGGCCAGGACCCCCATATCACACATGGGGAACTAAAGCACAGAGACTGGGCCAGCTTCTCCAAGGTCTTTACGGCCTAACGACCTTGCAGGAGCTGGGCCTAAAGTGACTCGCCCAACGTCAGGTCAGGCCTCCCCTGTCATTAGTGCCCTAAGCCAGCCTGGGAATAGCCCCGATTCTCAGGCCTGTGCTCTAACCACCCAGCAATGCTCTCAGGTAGGTAGGTGTGTGCGGAGTTAATCAGCCCTTTCACCCAGGAGTCAGAGGTGGGTGCAGCTTAGGCCAGAAGGACCAAAGAAGAGAGACAGACACACTAACTCAGCAGGACATGAGGATCATTTCCATTAAGACGAAACTGCCTTTCTTCTGCATGAGGGAGGTGGTGACAGCCCCAGCAGCAACAGTTCAGTGTGGGGCAGTGCAGAGTGGGGATGAAACCTGGCTGCCCTTTGTCCCCTCCCAGATCTGCCTCGGTGATTGTCCCCCAGCGGCACCTTGGAGACACAGGCAGGGTGCTGGGGCTGCTGACCCTGCTTTCAAGTTCTCATTTGCATGGAGAATTCCAGGCAGTCTCACTTCCTTGCATTTGTGATCAGGGAGGGGCAGCCCAATTTGGAAAGAGTGAGAGCCAGTCCTCCCACCTGGTGGGAACTTCCCCCCCCCCATGCAGACCGGCCCCCCCCCCAATCTTAGCCCCAAAATGCAAACCTCCCTCCCAAACTCAAGCTAGCCCCCCAAGCGTTTAGCCAAACCAAAGCACAATCTAGCCCCCCCACCCCAAAAGCTTTCCCCAAACACAAACTGAACTTCCTTTGCCTAAAGCACAGGGCCCCCGATCCCCCGCAGAGATGGCAAGGTTTGGTTCGCTCCACTCCCCTCTGTGTTCCCTGGAGAGATGCAGCTATCGATGAATTTCTGATTGCACCAGGAAGAACCAGTAATACCATGACAAACCCTGGCCTTTTATGAATTCCGGTCCGGATTCGCAGGCTGGGGCATTCAGACAGCTCTGAAAAGCACCCAGCTGTCTGGGAGTGGGTCAGACCCACCGTCTGAGGCAAAGTGCTACTACAACAGCCCAACAGGGCCACAAGGAGCCTGCTCTACCCACCATCAGTGAACCCCTCAGCCGAGGCAACAAGAGACACGTGATGACCCACAACCCAGCCAGGAGCCACTCTGCCTTTAGGGTTCTCCTGAGCAGGCTACACAGGGATGGAGACCTTCACCAGCTCCAATCCAGCCAACTGGCTGTGATGATTCATTGTTGCTATGGCCCCTGGAGGGCCCAGTCAGCATCACTGTATTAGGCCACATTGTGCTGGGGTGTACAGACAGAGGAAAACATGGGTCCTGTCCCACAGGGTTCCCATTGTCACCACCTAATGGCTGCATGGCGCCCCGGTCATGTGCCCCAGAGCCAGAGGTACTTATATAGTGCTCATCAGGATTGTTGGAGCACCCCACAAGGGATTTTACACTCACACCCCAAGGAGGTAGGGAAAGATTCCCATTTTACAGATGGGAAAACTGAGGCACGGGGAGTCTGTGGTTGAGCCAGGAACTGAGCCCAGGCCTCCCAAGTCCCAGTCCAGTGCCCTAAGCACTAGATCACCCTCCCTGCTGCTCTACAGATGGATCAACAGCCCCTCAGACACTATTCACCAGCACAACACTCACTGCTGTTTAAAAGGTTGTCCCCTCAGGGTGGGGCTCAGACAGGATTTCCTTTGCATTGGATTTCATCCCGAGAATTTTTCCACATGCTCAGAGGAGGGACAATGGTGGGTCTGTGGGGGAAGGGAATTAGGGTCTGTAATGGGGGTGGGTGGGCGTGATGGGCAAAGGGCAGTGGTGGGTCGGGGGGAGAATTGGGGTCTGTAATGGGGGTGGGTGGGTGAGATGGGCAAAGGGACAATGGTGGGTCTGTGGGGGAGGGGAATTGGGGTCTGTAATGGGTATAGGTGGGGAGTGATGAGCAAAGGGACAATAGTGGGTCTGTGGGGGAGGGGAATTGGGGTTGATAATGAGGGTGGGGTGACAGGGAAGATTCTGACTGACTCAGCACCTGGGGCAGGGTGTGTGGGCAGTAGGGGATCCAGACCCACTGGGCATCCAGACAGAGGGGCCAGGTGCTTGTCTACAGTGTTGGTAGGTGTCAGAACAGCCACAACGGCACATGGCATGGAGTTAATTGGCAATGCGCCCACCCAGCTGTGCAAATGAGCCTCACCACCCTTCCCCCACTGTCCCTGCCCCTGGGAAGGCCTTAGTCGGGAGGCCCCAGCTGCTGGGAGCGGAGCCACAATCTCAGGATGAAATTGGAGCTGGCTCCTCCACCAGGGCCACAACAAGATTTATGAAGCTCTCCCTGGACGCCAGCTGAGCCCACGTGCACACTGATGTGCACGGGAGGGGAAGGAACGTCCCAGCAGCTGAGCAGCACCCATGCCCTGGGCTGGGGACAGATAGAAAGGGGAGGAGCTTGATGAACTCCAGCCCCAGCCTCTCCCAGCAGGGGGCACTGTGGGGAGGGGGGCAGGGGGCACTGACTGTGGGGGAGCTCCCAGCTGCTTCTGCCCTGTTCCCCCCAACATGGGTGCATTTTGCAGCCTGCAGACCTAGGTCAGAATCCCAACTGCTCTCCTACCACGTTGGTGTCTTTCTCCACTGTCTGTTCGTTGGCCTCGGCCGGATCGCTGTCCTGGTACCGGGGGCCGCTGCAGTCCAGCCGGATCAGGGCACGGCACCGATAGTGGCAGGTGAACTTGCAGTCTGGGGGAGGGGAGAGGAAAGAGGAGACAGCGTTAGGTGGATGGGAGCCAGCGTGGGGGAGAATCCAGCAGCCTGCTGGAAGGAGCAGCAGCCCCCGGGGTCCAGCGCTTGCCAGAACCCCAGGGCTAGGACGGGGCAGTCTGACGCCATTGAATATCCCGATCAGCTGCGTGATGGGTCAGTATTTCCCATCCTAGCTCCCTGTCTCCCCGCTTACATCCCCAGGTCCCAGGGAGAGTCCTGCCGCATGGGAACTCGGAGCGGGGCTGTATGACAAACCTAACCTTGGATCACCCTCACCCCCTGTCAGACCAGGAGGGAGTGGTTGGCTCCCCATCTCAGCCAGAGCTGGTGGCCAGTGTGGGGTCCTCAGAAGCAGAGAGGCCCCACTCTGGGCTGAATCCCGACTATCCGGGCCTGCGCTTTGGGATTTCAGGAGAGAATGGAATAAAGGAGCCGGGGTCCCATGAGGTTCCCCACCAGAAATCGATCAGCAAGCGCACGGGCCTCCTTCAGCCACTTGGAGGGGACCCCACCTTTCCAGTCATCCCAGCTCTGCTGCCTGCCCCCAAGATCCACCAGGGAAGGGAGGGAGGGATGGTGGGACTGGGCTCTGGGGACACTCACTCACACGGGTTGTCTGGCCCGTACCACGCCACGCACACCTCTGCGGAGCTGGAGTCTGCCAAGGAAGTGGCATAGGGGGATGAGGAAACACGAGCCAGGTGCTCAGCCTGGGAAGCAGCTGTGCAGGTGGAGGGGAAAGGACCAGGCGTTACAGGTGGACGCCAATCCCAGGTGGAGCCAGGCACAGCCTCAGCAGCCAGGGAGAGGGACAGAGGGGGATGGCACCCTTGATGGGTTCCTGTTCTGCCCTCTTCACTGTGGTGGTGGTGGAGCACCTTCGGTGGCACACCCAGCATCTGCCAGCTGCCAGGGAAACAGACCCCAGGGGATGCTCTGGCCCCAGCTTAAGGGAAGGCTGGGCTGGACAGGAGCTAATGGGGCTGCTGCCCCTCCAATTTCTCTGTCCCTGTGATTAATGCACCGTGCAGCTCTGTGGCACCCGGATGCTACCCTGCCAGCCCCAGGACCTCTGATGGACCCAGCAAAGCCCCCTGTACCCAGCCACTAGGCCTCCACTCAGACACCCTCCATGGGACGAAGGAGAGAGCAATCCCCCCAACACGCACACACTTCAAAGGGACCGAGACAAAGAGCCTCTGTCCCAGCAGCATCACCTTTCCCCAGAGCCACGCTGCCACCCGCCAGCACAAAGAGCCTATTAACGGGCACCCGGCTGCCTCCGGAACCATTCGCCTGGATGACCTGCAGCCGGACGTGGTTCCTGCAGTGCAGATGGGCTTGTGCAGGAGGAATGCTCCAACGGCAGTCACATGGTGCCACGACGCAGCCTAAGAGATTCCCCCCTCACTTGCCCTGTGTGCCCCCCCTCCCAATCTTTGTAGGGATGCCCTCTTCCCCACACCCTATCTCACAGGGGTCTCCTCTCCCCCATAGGAAAGACCTTTCCCTGTTAGAACAAATTCTCCATTTCTTTCCCCTTGTTCTGTGTTACTGGCCTCGGTCCCACCACCTTTGAGGTCTGCTTGTGACATTACAACAGAGGATTCAGCTTGGTAGCAGGAATCGGTCAAATGCTCTGGAAAGAAAAATAGTTTGGGGTTTCCCTCCCCTCCCCCAGATCTCCTGAGCAACAAAGACTGAGGCAAAGGTTAGGGAATCTTGGTATAAACATAATTTAAAAAAATGGAGAAACAACATGGTCCTCATTTCATTCCAGGCCATTTTGTGGCCCAAACACATCACTTTTCTGGCCTTTCCACATCAGAAGATGAATTTCAAAATGTTCCCTATCTTAAACCAAAAGAATAACTGGTTGAATGAGAATATGGTTTCACAGGCCAAATATATGGCTTGAAAAACAGAGCTGAATTCACTCCTAAGTAGTCCTGTGTTCTTGCCAGCACCCCAAGCCTCCATGCACCCAGGTGGGGAGTGGGGAAAATGGGAGCAGTTGGGCACTATAGAAAGAAAACGAGAGCACCTCCGATTTTGGAGATGTTAGCGTTCAGTTGTGGCTATTTCACAGGGCCACCAACAGCGACAGAGGGAGAGAAAAGCATGGCACTTCTGTTCTCTTTGCCGTATCTGCAATGCCAGGAGTTCTCCCCCCGCCAAAAATAAAAAAATAAAATCACATCAGGCCTCTGAAAAAGTCACAAGACTGGCTTTGTCATGAGACCATGACAAACTAACACATTTTGGGTGCTTATTTGCCTTCTGGCTTCTGAGCCTTTGCCATGCTTTCAAGCGGTTCTCTATACGAGCACATGGGGTAGACAGTGACTTCAGAAGAAAATGAACTTGGAGATTTTCATGTAACCCATAGAGACAAAAGCCACCACATATTACAAGAGTCAGGATATAATCATGATAGCTGTTGACAGTGGGTTCAGGCAACTCAAGGGCCTCTAGGGTGACCAAATGTCCTGATTTTATAGGGACAGTCACGATATTTGGGGCTGTGTCTTATATAGGTGCCTATTACCCCCCACCCCTGTCCTGATTTTTCACACTTCCTGTCTGGTCACCCAAAGGGCCTTCCCCCACAATTGGGACATCAGAACAATCCCAGCATCTATATCCAACACATGAGCTTCCTTCCACTGAGAGAGAAGCCAAACTTCCATTTTGCTGAGACACTTGAATGCCTAGTCAGCTTCTAACGAGCCCACTGAGTCCCAGGCTGCCCTGTTCCCTGCCTGCAGCCAGACGGCTCTTTAGGAAGCAAATCCATGGTGATTTCCAACCCAGACTTTCCAATCGCTGGCCCTGCGAGACGCAGGAGAAAGAGGCCCCATGCCCCAGCTTTGGGGAGCAGGATTTAGCTGCAGAAGCAGAACCATCACACTTAATTCTCCATGTAAAGTTCCTCCCAAGTTTTCCATGGATTCTCAGCTGTTCTTTTAGAGGGGAACTATGACTTTTAATAGGGCTCTGGCGCCCTCTAGTGGTCATCGCTGTAGCACAGCAGGACAACGATTCTTTGACACCAGTGTCACTCCACTGGAGTTACTCGAGTCACACCAGTAAGGAAGCAGAGGCTCAGATCCATAGATTTTACAGTGCCGCAGTCCACTTATCTTAGACAGCCGCTGCTAATAAAGGCCATGTTCGGAGGCAGGGGTGGCTGGGATGGTCGTTGCTTATAACTAGGCCTGGCAGAATTAAATTGTTACTTTTTTATCATTTTGATGGAGAATCTCGAGATTTATTTTTAACTATTTTTTAGATTTTTATCCATTTCAATTTTCACAGTTGCTGGAAATGAGGGGGGAGGGGGGAGACAATTGTGTACTGAGAACAGACGCTGAGATTCCAAAAGGTAATGCTTTATAACCGCTAAACACAACACTGACAACATCACCTGTCAAAATGCACAAAGTAACTGCCCTTCAATCAAACTAACGAGTTCTCAAGCAGCGTTTTCCTTACATCGTGGATTGGTACATTTGGATTATTACTGACTGAAATATTTGGGTTTGTAATGAAATTGACATTTATCAGCATTGACAATAAAAATCAGATCCTGCCAAGCCTGCTCACAACTGGGCACCATGTCTAACCGGCTCTGCAGCTGCCCCTCATTTAACTGTGGTCTCATTAGATCTCACGTATAAGCCTGGTGAGTGCTTGCATGGAACTGACTCAAGGGATGCAGAAAGTGGGATTGGTAACTCAGTAGGGGGCGCTCTCCCCTGGCAGTCAATGCCCCAGGGCGCTAGGGGGTGCTGTGCTGCAGGAAGTATAGTGGGTGCTCAGTAGGGGACCCTCTCCCCCTGAATCATTGCCAACCCCAATGTCCCAGCGTGATGGTAGGGCATAGTGTGCTTCGGGAAGTGGTGTTGGTGGGTCAGTAGGGGGCGTCCGCCTCTCTGATTTAGTATTGACCTCGGTGCAGTACTGACCCCTTGTGGCCAGTCACAGTCCCTTGGCATTTATAGAAGTGCTAAGTATTATTATTATTCTTTTCACACGAATCGTTGCATGTTAATACCAAGTTTGGGACAAGGTGCAACATTGGTCATTAAATTCTGCTGACCTGGCCTCCCCCTGCAGTTTCAGTTGGACACAGTTTTGCTTCCTGTCCCAGGGTTGCTGTGTGCTGTTAAACAGCTGCTGTGTTCCACCCCAGAGGCAGCTGCATTCAGCGGGGTGGGAGTCAAAGAGTTTATCTGTAACTGATGCAACACTTTGGCATGACAGATGCTCTCAGTGATAGATTAATTACAATCAGAAGAGCTTTGCCACACTGGCCTTCGTGCTGTTCAGTTAGAGCCTTGTCTGCCTGTCCCTCTGGGGAAGCAGCTCTCCTGACACTAGAGCAGCCGCGGATGGGACAGGAAGAAGCAGACTGCCTCAGGGGAGATGCTGAAAGTGTTCCCATGTCCCATCCTTTGGGGGGGTCAGAGGCGCAGAGCACAGGGCTCAGCGTGGGGTGACAGCTGCAAGCAAAGCGGATTGTGGGAGCGGGGTCGCTGGCCCAAAGCGACCCAGAAAAGCAAGAAGGGAAAGGAAGACTCAGCTCAGCTGTCTCTGGCCCAGCATCAGGGCCAGGCAGATCTCCCCATCCCCTCAGGCAGGGTCACACAAGCAAAGGTTTCAGCTTCCTCCTTCTTCCCAGGAAAATTCCACCCCCTGCACTTTTTCCAGGGTTAAAAACAAACCAAAGGCTCTGGCTTCTCCTTTGGTCCAGAAAGGATCATGGCAAATCTCAGGGCTGATCTACACAGGGAAAAATCGACCACAATAGCCACTGAAGAATAGCCTCTTCCACTGGGGAGTTGGGCACCACAGGGAGCCAGCTGGCCTGGGATCCTGCAAGCCTGGGATGCCCAGCCCTGGGGCAACCCACATGGCAGGGCTGCTGTAGAGCCACAGAGCCTGGAGGCCTGTCTCAGGACTTCCATGCTTTCTGTGGCAGAGCCAGGTGTCAAGTCCTGGCTAGAGCTGCGGCTCCCAATGCTTTCAAGCTCCCAGCTCTAGGGTAGGGAGCCTGGAAACTTGTCACGGCAGGGCTGCCCCAGAGCCCCAGCCCTCAGAAACCTTGGGGGCTCCAGCTCTAGGGCTACCAGGGACCCCAGCAGCCCACTGGCCACCTGCCTGGGATTTGCTGGCAGCAGATGGAGACCCAGATGCCCCTGGGGAAGTGGAGGCAGAGGTGGAAGAGAAATCACACTAAATTGCAGGCAAAGCAGGTTGGCAGCTGGGGTGGGTGGGGCCTCCCAGCATGGGACACCTCTGCCTCCAATTATTTCCATCTCTAAAATATTCTGTTCTGCCCTATGCATTTCTCCCTGCTCAACAGGGGCAGGATGGGCGTTCCTGAGCACGGGCCCAAATCAGTTGACTGGTACTGTCTCTAAAGGCGCCAGTTACCACCACTCTATTGCCCCACATTGCGGCCCTCACAGGGATCTGTGCACTGACCACTGGGCTTTCAGGTCCGTGCCCCATTCCCTGACCCCTCAGGAGCCCCGCCCACCTCCATGCCTATCATCTCCAGCAATAACATCACAGAGCCTGCCAGCATGGCTCCCCACTTGTCACTCTCAGTGCCCATTGCCAGGCCCAGCCTCAGTGCCCAGCCACTCCAGAGATACTCCTTGCCTCTGCCAACGCTCCCAACCCATACAAACACCCCGGTGCCATTCTGCACCCCTCCAGCCAGCCTGAGCCAGGCCTGCTGCCTCCCCTGCTCCCCAGGAATGGGCCCCACCAGCCCCTGCCTCTTCTAGCAGGAGGAGGAATTTGGGAGCTAGCAAATGGTTCCATTCCCTCCCTGTCCCAGGCTGGGCGAGTCGGCCCTGCCTCAGTGTTACCGTCCCCCCAGAGAGATCTCCCTACTCCACAGCTGCACATCACTGAAATGCAGCTGCCTCTGAGGCAGAACGCAGCAGCTATTCGACACCACACAGCGATGCCACCCAAGCCTTTGGATGGAAATGGAGGAGACTGAAGAAGGATCCGGGGGAGGCAGATCGTAACATCGCCCAAGGAGGGACCTGGCCAAGCCCTTAAGGTTAATACCCCCAGTCTTGCAGACAGTGCCCCACCATCTTTAATGCCCGCAAACAGGCAGGGCATCAGGTTCTGGCAGCAGAGCTCTACCCCCTGGCCTAGAGGGAAGGGCGCCCCCTTCCTGCAGCACCTTGGGTTTCCCCAAGAGTACCTCTCATTCAGCCCAGCTCTGCCTGGCTTTCAGGATCAGAAGAGATCCCAGCTTGACATACTATGGCTGGAGGAGAGCCTTGGTCTATCTGTGCCACTGGGGCCTTGCACCCACGCCTGCCTAGTGCCAGCACAGGATGGCAAACAGATCGAGGTAGAGAGTCCGTTAACCCCAGGGCTTCCTCCCGCATGCACGCTTCCTGTGATTGGCAGGCGAATGAGCCCTCCGATTCTTACTGACAGCTGCACCTGGCTGGCAAGGGATGCAGCCAGGGCCGCAGGGCCGGCTCCAGGCACCAGGCACCCAAGCTGGTGCTTGGGGCGGCACCTGGAGGGGGGCGGCGGGGCGCTCCGGCCGCGGGGGAGAGCGGGGCCACAGCAGGGCTCGCCGCCCTCCCCCGGGCGCTCTGGCCGCCCGGCCGCCGGGGGGAGAGCGGCGAGCCCCTACTGGGGCTCGCCGCCCTGCGCTCTATCCACTGGCGGGGAGAGCCGAGCCCCAGCTGGGGCTCGCTGCCCTGCCCCC